TAAGAAGAATATATGCAGTGTATTATTTGTTGAAACTGTCCTTCTGATATGATTTGAAACTGTCTCATTGCTATCTGTTTGTCAATAAAACTTTGGAAAAAAAAAAAATTAAAAAAAAAAAAAAAATTAAAGACTAAAGATGTAGCTTAGTACCAAGGCCCTGGATTTAATCCCTAGTATGTACATGTATTCCTGAAAGGTAGAAGTAGCAAAACAGAACAGAAAATGAAATACATGGTGAAAGACAAAAAAGGAAACAATACATACAAATAAAATTTACTTGAAAATATTTTCCAGGTTGAATCGAAAAACAAATCCAGTTCTGTGCTGTTGCATATAAAAAGATTTTAGGGCCTGTAACTTAAGTCAAAGTGGAAATTTATAGACAAAAAGCTTTCAATCATGCAAAGTGAACTTTACTATAAGGCTAATATGGATTGATAGACTATCTTTTTGAGACAGGGTCTGGCTATGCAGTTCAGGTTAGCCTTGAGCTTACTTTGTAACCCAGGCTGGTCTCAAACTCGCAGTGATCCTCCTGCCTCAGCTTTCCTAGTGCTGGAATTACAGATGTGCACCACCACACCCAGCCAAGCCTAACAGGGATTTTTTGTTTTACTGAGACAGGGTCTATACTGGCCTCAAACTTGCAGGGATCCTCCTGCCTCAGCCTCCTGAGTGCTGGGATTACAGGGATGAGCCACCAGGCCATGAAAAGCATGATTTTAACAGCTACACACACACACACACACACACACACACACACACACATATGCAAATATTAGAGGAATACACAGCAGATGAAGAAAATTGTAAGGATAAAACAAAGCAAAAGAATACGACGAATAAAGTAGTATTATAGTTACATATTAAATTTTGAAATCTCAGAAGATAATACTTCATTTACAAAACTTATCCATGTAATCTATTGGTCCACAAAACCTCCATAGATTCTAAAAAATAAATTTAAGCATACTAAAAATATAAAATAAAATCTCAAAATCTGGTGGGGCATGTAATGGTGTATTTCAGCAATCTAGCATTCCGGTAGGCAGTCAGGAGAATCACAGTTCACGCCCAACTTGGACAACTCAATGAGACCAGTTCTAAGTAAGTAAGCAAATAAATAAATAAGTGTTTTGATGAAAAAACATAAAGCCTTATTAAACACCCTTGGATAAAAGAGGATATACAAAGTGGAATCACAACGGCTGGGAAGATAGCTCAGCAGTGTAAGTACCTGCATGGCAAGTACAAGATCTTCAGTTCGATCCCTATACTACAAAAAAACCAAAATGGAATCACAAAATTCCTGGAAAACAAAATAACAAAATTATCATCTATGAGATTAAAAAATACCAAGAAAGAAACTGAGCAATTATCTTAAGTTCATCAATAAAAATAAAAGTGCCAAGTGTGGTGCCACATCCCTGTAATCCTAGCTCTCAGGAGGCTCAGGCAGGAGCAAGTTCAAGGCCAGCCTGAGCTATATATAGGGAGTTCAAGTTCAGCCTAAGCTATATAGTGAAGCCTTGTCTCAAAAAAACAACCAAAACACAAAAATAATTTTATCCAACTATGATAGAATACAGACAAACAATAAGGATAAAAGTAGAATTAATGAGTTTAAACCAAAAAATGCTGTACAAAATAAATAATTCTGGTTCTCTGGCAAGATCGGTGAAACAGGTGATATAATGGTTAAAAAGAATAAACATACAGGGGCTGGTGAGATGGCTCAGTGGTCTAAAGCGCCTCCTTAGAACAAGCTTAGCAAAGCACAGGGACCGCGGTTCAATCCCCAGCACCACATGCCAGCCAGCCCCGCCCCCTGGTGGGCTGAGCTGGCCACACACACACACACACACACACACAAATAAAAATAAATTTAAAAAAATTTTTAAAAAAAGAATAAACATACAATTACAATGAGGGAAATAAAACGATTAAAAGATATCACTAAGACTGCTGTATAACTTTACAAGTAATATTTCAAAATTGAACTGTTTTGAAAATAAAATGTCAAAACTAAGCCAAATGTTATAAACAGCCAAGCCTATTCTATAAAAACATTTTGTCATCAAAGAGCCATCTCTAAAATCAGTTTCATACAATAATGTTTCCAGATTTTAAGGAACAAGTAATTTTCAACCTTGGTAAGTAGAGCGGGGGAGATGGCTCAGTAGAATAAGCGCTTCCCTGGCAAGCACAAGGTCTTGAATTCAATCCCTGGTTCTGCCAAAAAAAAAAAAAAAAAAAAAAAAAAAAAAAAAAAAAAACCAAAAAACTTTGATAAGCTACATACTTGTCCTCTAAATTAACAGGAAATTCGAAGAGCGGAGCAGAGGAGAAAATGGAAAGAGAAACTTCAGAAAAAGTATTACTCTACAGAAATTCAGGATGACTACCAGCCTGTCACTCAACAAGAAGTTCGCGAGTAAGCATTTGTTGTTACCAGTATTTACTGTGAGACACCATGAACGAGGGGTTGTGGGTACGAGTTACATTCTTTATTGAACCTACACCCTCACTCTGTTGAGATGCCATTTTTTGCGTTTTGTCCCACTTTCAATAAAATTTAAAAATTAAACCACATAGCTCCACTTACTTGAATGTGGTGGCACACACCTATAATCCCACAACTCATGATGCTGAGACAGGAGGATTGCTCTAAGTTAGATTTTGGTTTTGGGCACTAGGAATCGAACTCAGGACCTTGCGCTTGCCAGGCTGGCACTTATGCCACTGAGCTAGCTCCCCGGCCTTGGCATTTATATTCGATATGCACAGCAGATACTGTTCTCCACCTAGCTCTAGAATGTGAGAAGTACAATCATCCATATAAAAGCACATTTTAGGACACTACCATACATACTATTTTCCCCTAACAAGCACTAATAACCTTGTCTTTATAAAGTGTATTAATGATTTACTCTCTAACAACTTCTAAATTATTTTCTAGACTCTTCTTATATGCTGTGGAACTGGAGAAGGAAATACAATACATCAGTTTAAAACTAAATCGAGTGACGAGAAAATTTTCAGCTCTACAATACTAAGTGGAGGTAAGACTTCTTGAGGCAATCACAGAGCATGTCTAACATTTATTCATGTATTTCCTAAACTTTTCCCCATTTTAGACTCACTTTAAAGGTGATTTAATGTCTTAATCCTACCACTCTGGGAGGCTGAGGCAGGAGGATCACAAATCCCTTCCCAGTTTGGGCAATTTAGTAATTCAGACTGCCTCAAAACAAAAAGGGCATGTTTGGGAGGCTGAGGCAGGAGGGTTGCTGTGAGTTTGAGACCAGCCCTAACTATACAGTGAGATGATCTTGTCTCAAAAACCGAAATGAAACAAAAGGACTGGGGAGGTAGGGCAGTGTGAAGGCCCTGAATTCAATTCCCAGTACTACAAAAGAAACAAAACAAAACATTAAACCACCTATTATCAAAATATGGTTAGGGTCAATTATAAAAATAAGGTGATTTCCAGGAATGAAATGCCACTCATGCGCAAAGCTCTGGGTTCAATCCACAGCATCAAACAAAAAACAAAAGCCCCAACCCCCCTAAAAGAAAAAACGACATATTACAATATGCTCTCCTGTATATACACACACTAGTACAGACATAGTAATTCTGAGGTCTACTATTAAATCCTAGGAATGTGAAGGGAGGGTATAAAATAATGCTTATATTTCATAGGTCATATCTCTTCAGTATGTGGACAAAGTTTTTGCAGAGCACACGAAAATACTGATGCTTTTAAGTACCATGTTCTGACTTCCTCTGGCTACAGATAAATGGGTAAAGGCTTTAGCTTTCCCTGTGGCCTTCAGTTCTTGGCCTCCAGGAATCTACCTGCCTCAGCCTCTGAAGTAGGTGCATGCAGCAAATAATTTTTTTTTTCTTTGCAGAACCAGGGATTGAACTCAGGCCCTTGTGCTTGCCAGGGAAGTGCTTATTCCACTGAGCCATCTCCCTGGCTAATAAAATAATTTTTAAGGGTCAGGGATATAGCTCAGTGACATTAGTGGCTGCCTGGCAAGTGTAAGATCTTGAGTTTGATCCCTGGTTCAAAAAAAAGAAAAAAAGAATTTTTAATTACTACCTTGTAAGGCCAGATTATTCTTTCAGAAAGATGCATTCAAGTTTTCTTAATAGGGTAATTCATTGTAACAATAAATGCTGACTCATCAGCCTCTCCTGGCCTTCCTGTGGTCAGCCAAATCACTCAGGCTAAAATCAGAAAAAGGAGTATGTGAAGTCTAACTTTTTAAAACACCAACTGCAAAAACATAAATTTATAATTACTTAGAACATGGAAGTTCTTTTATTACAAAAGACACAGTACAGTGAAGTGTTAGACACAGTAATGCAATTAGTGAACATATATATCTATATAATACTGGTATATAGATACACACTTTTTTTACCATAAACTCCCTACTTCTGCCATCTACTGCCCAACTATAACACAATAATTCCACATAGCATAAGTGCTGCCATGTCCCATTTACCTACTCTATTCATAGCCAAACATTAACACTGAACCACCAACATCATAATGTAGCTGTTAATTCTAAACTGAAACCAGGGAGGCCAATGACTTCTAAAAATAGCTACTCAAATAGATATACCATTATAAAGAAGGAATATATTATTTAAAACACTTAAATAGTGCAAATGGAGATTTGTGCATGTGGTATATAAAACAAACGATACACATAAAATCAGATGTCACACTATATAGAGACCAAAACAATTAAATGTACACCGCACGAAGGAGGCAAATCAAAGTGATGTATCTTCTGGGGTTTTCAATTTTACTTAGGAATAACACTATGAATAACCTAGAATCAAAATGAAATACACAAGGCAGGCTGGGTTTAGTGCTTTTTTAATTCCTCCAATACACATTCACTACCACTGGATTGCCTCCCCTTTCCCCAAAAAGACATTGCACATATAAGTGAAATGTGAAGTACTAGAAACACATTATTAAGCTACTTCATGTGCTTACTATGTAATAGTGCCAGAAGTTTGAGGTTCATGCTTCCCTCACCTTATTAAATAATATTGCAAAATTCCATTTTTTGTATGAAACACATTTTTTTAATATTAGCTAATTAAAACCATGCATGAGTTGTTGCATGCAAATCATGAGCACAGAATGAGGCACTCATCATCAACCCAAGCACCAGGAAGAGAAATTAACACTTAGATTAAGCCTGTTTTATTGTTAATACAAATGAAGTCACCCTTTGGTAAAAATGATTAGCAGGATACCAAGAGTACCTGAAGAAAAGCCATGCAAGGCCAAAGAACAGAAGATGTTAAGAGTGTAAAGAGTGTACGACAAGGGGCTTACCACTACACATACTGCAAATGGTGCTTCAACAGAATGTGACTAAGCAAAAGGTGGTATCTTTTAGAGTGTGTTTCATTGTAGATTTTGTTGATTTTAAAGAGGAAAAGAAAAAAACACAGCCCCCTGAAGTTCAGGTAAAAATGCAGTGGTATAGCCCTTGTTATGAAATCATTTACTTAGACATAATGATTACCAATTTAGGTCCATTTGATTCAACACAAAAATCTGAGCACCATCTCTACATATGGACATGGCTGTTTGCTCAAATTATCTGGAGGTAATTGGGGAAACAGCCCAGAATCTGATCCTGAAAAAATACATCCTCAGCTGAAAAATTGTAACTTAGGAACAAACGTAAGCCCCATAGGCAGCATGTGGTATGATTCAGTTCCGTGTGTGATGTGTGCAGTATGTTTTTAATAGGCTAACCAAGGTCATTTTTGGTCTACCTAATGTTATCTTCCTCCAAGAGCTGTGTGACCACTGAACTGCTAAATCTTGCTAATATTCTACCTGTGAGAAGGTGTCACTTTGGGAATTGAACAGAAAGTTGCTCCACAGAAGAATTTGCAATCTGAGTTTGATTTTTGTTTTGTAGGAAAACGGAACAGTTGCGTATATGCACTTCTACAGATTTTTCCTTTATACTTTCAGTCACTCTGTAAGAAAAAGGCAACCGAAGAGTTCAGTCTGAAGCTTTTCCTCTCAGTTTTCTTCAGTAATGTAAAAAAAAAAAAAAAGAAAAGAAAAGAAAAGAAAAAAGTAGTAACAAAAAGCTTTGCATTTCCAAAGTTCTTGAAGTTGAAAGGATAAAATTCTAGTCTTTTGCTAACAGGACGTGTTGGTAGCACAGAATGAAGGAGACTGCACGTGTGCCAACGGTGTCGCATGGCACACCACCTACACTCCTGAGGGCCTGCTGACCCTCCCTCCCTGCTTAGTGGCTCCACAACCACATACAAAATGAAATCCTCTGATTGCCTGACAAAATGAACTCAAAGACCAGTCAAGTACACATGATGATAGCGTCAAGAAATACAACTGACTTTATGATGTGAATTTTCAAGGAGCACATTCTATATGGATTTTGAAGAATCCTGTTTGCTGATAAGCACTTCAAGAAGTCTGAGCTTGGCTTTAATTTTCTTATACTCCTTGTATTCCTCAAGCACTGGAACACGATCCTCTTTCTGGGCATTCCTGAGGAGGAGAAGAAAAATCTGTTAACACTCTCTAGAGATCATCTGGAAACATGAGATACAGTGTTACTAATTATAAATTCAAATAAAAAGTTGCTTAAGTAACTTTCTTATCCCCAAATTTACCAGACTAATTCATCCCCGAAGAATACTTCTAAAATACTGTACTATTCTCGATGGGTTTCTCTACTAATAAAACTAAGTAATGCTATACCTCCTCTATCAGTGATCAGTGTGGAAAATCAGAAGTAACCCAATTATTTTAATAAGAAATTACTGCTGAACTCTGCTGGGTCTGTATCTGTTTCAAGTGCCAGAAAGCCACAGTACTATATAAAGTACAGTTTACAATTAGTAAACTGTGGCTCTAGTGAATTAAAAAAGTAAGCCATCATCCCTGTAACAAAAAGAGTAGTTAGAGCTGGGATTACAGGTGCATGCCACCAAGCCCAGTCTCTAATTCCCTGGGGGCGGGGGCAGCACTGGCAGGCCATAGAACCCTGGTCCCTGTACCTGCATGCAGGTGCTTTAATCCACTGAGCTATTTGGCCAACCCAGTTTACTAACTTCATATTAATGACCAATGCTATTCAGTTTAATCACTAGCTAAAGCAATAAATCTTCCTAGGTATAATTATAAATGAAATCTTCTGAAATATAAAGAATGCTGCGTGTGACGGGGCATGCCTGTAATCCCAGCATTTAGGAGGCTGAGACAAAAGGATTAATATGAGTTCAAAGGGCTAGCCAAATAGCTCAGCAGATTAAAGCATCTGCAAGCAGGTGCAGGGGCTGGGGCTTTGATCCCCAGGATGTGCTGAGAGAGGCAACTGAGATGCGGTGGCACATGCCTGTAATCCCAGCTCTTGGGAGGCTGTAAACAGGCAGATCACTACATAGTCCGATTTAGTAGTGAGACCCTGAACACCCTATAGACTCTTCCCTAAAATTAAAAAAAAAAAAAAAAAAAAAAAAGAGTTCAAGGCTGGCCTAAACGATATACTCTGTCTCAAAAGATGTAAGAAATCACAAATGAAAAACCAATAATATAAAGAAATTGAAGGCACTCAGGAAATGAATTTTTGTATTTCAGATTTTCTTAATTGTACATGCAAATCTATACAGGAGACTCTGAAAGTAGAGGAAATGAATTTAAAGTAAACCAGTTTTTTAATTTGTATTGTGGCTACTTGGAAACTCTTTCTGAGCCTTAAGTACTTTCTGAGGTCTAAGATAATGTAACTACTTTGAGCCACCACAAGCTGGAGTTTTTTTTCTTTTTAATTTTTAAGAGTTTCCCAATATAGAGGTACATTCTTATAAGGGAGGCTGAAACATAAAAAATTACAAGTTCAAGGGCAGCCTGCACTACATACTGAGACTCTGAAAAATAGATAATAAGAGAGTCCCCAGGGTCAACTATGTATACCAGTGAGAGAAGGGACATGCTTCATAGTGTTTTATTGGAGCCACATACATTACTACCTTGGTTCATGAATTTTTTTTTTTTTTTTTTTTTTTGGTGGAACCAGGGATTGAAACTCAGGCCAGATAAGTGCTTATTCTACTGAGCCATCTCCCTGGCCCCCATGAATGCTTTTGCTTGCAAACAATTTGGTTCAACAACAAAAGTGCTTGGAATTTTTTTTTTTTTTTTAAACTTAGGACAGGGTCTATAGAGTGCACAGGGCCTCTACGATTACTAAGTAGATCAGACTCGTAATTCTCCTGTTTTCAGCCTCCCAAGTGCTGGGATTACAGGAGCGTGCCATCATGCCCAGTCTCAGTCACCACCTCAGTGTGCCCAGAGGTGGGGCCAGCACGAGAAAAATTTTGTTGTTGTTTCTAAATTTTTTTTTAAATTTTATATATTTGGTATAGGGTCTTACTACGCAGCTCAGATTCAGTGATTCCCTAGCATGGGGATTACAGGCATGCACTACCATGGCTGGACTCAGTTGCTGGTTAAGCGTGCCTCAGGGCAAGGCTGGTGTGGCATGTGGTGCTGGGGATTAAATCCTGGTCCCTGCACTTGCCTATACAGTGGTTTCTAAATTGAGCATGGAATGACAAACACACCACGGCCATTATTTCCAAAATCGTGAAACAAATTAAGTTCATGAACAAAGGCTGTTTGTACTGTTTCCTTCAAAATGTGCAGCCTGGAATGGCCCAACATACAGCTGAAACACAATGATCTGAAGACAAAAATTAAGAATCCAAGTGGGCCTACTGACACACACCTGTAATTCCATCATTTGGGAGGCTGAGCTAGGAGGATTGCTTCAAGATGAAGTGCAACCTGGACCACAAAGTGAGTTCAAGGCTAGCCTGAACTGTATTGTGAAACCCTGTCTCAGAAGACACACACACACACACACACACACACACACACACAATCCAAGGTGGTTGAAAACATCACTAGTAGCAGAACCCTTCCAAAAAAGAAAAACATCTCATTTCATAAGCAGTGCCTCAAAGGTGAGAATGTAGAATTAAATAATAAAGTAACTGTGAGCTTGGGATGTAGATCACTGGCTTGTCTAGCATGAGTGAAGCCCCAGGTCAACACCCAGCATGGGGTAGGAGACAGGTGGGTGGCCCTCTGCAACTCAACCAACATTCCCTAGGGCAATCGTGCCAAACCTACGGCATGTGTGCTGCAATGAGCTGTTTGTTATCACTGAAAGCTCTAAATGGTTTGCCATCGCTGCCCTAGAACAACCTTGAAATTATTTTTACGGCAATACTGGAGATTGAACCAGGAGTCCTCTACCACTGAGCCACCCCCTTTGTTTTATTTTAAAACAGGGTCTTCATAATCATCACCCGAAGTAGCTTTGAATTTAAAATGCTCCTGCCTCAGCCTCCTGAGCCACTATGCTTAGTCAACCTTGAAATATTAATTATTTACTTCAGCTGTGACTTTTCATTACCATTACTAGAAGCAGGACTTCAGAACATAAAGGAATGTCATAAAATTTTACTTTCAATGCCATAACTTACTTCTAATCCAACATATTTCCCTATTTTAACTTATAAGCACTAAGTGAGCAAATAGAGATAGATGACTTATTTTGTGATGCTCAACAAACCTTCCATTTTGTTGGTAAAACGCTTCCTCAAATTCCCGTAATGTTTTACGTAGTTTCTTTTTTTCAGCTCTGGCTTTCCAAAGTTGTTCCAATAATTCAGGCCTAAAATTAAAATGGAGTAACACATTAATGAAAGGACAAAGTTGATACATTATATTCTTTTTTTTTTTTTTTGCCGGGGACTGAACTCAGGCCCTTGAGCTTGCCAGGTAAATGCTTATTCAGCTGAGCTATCTCCCCAGCCCCCTATTCATTATATTCTTAACAGCATTTCTAGTTTCTAGTCCTGGCTCAGATTAAAATCAATTGGGAGGCCTGGTGAGCCTGCTTAGGCTTGATCCCTGGTACCACATGCCATGCCTACTGGTCCTGTCCACAGGCATGCTGAGGCAACCAAGTTGAGCATAGTGGCGCACGCTTGTATCCTAGTGCTGGGGAGGCTGAGAATAGGAGAATCACTACAAATCCAGGCTGCATAGTGAGTCCCTGTACAAAATACATGAATAAGTAAATAAGTAAATTGGGGAGCCTTTAGTGCAAATCAGTGCCAAACTCTACCTCAAACCAATTAAACCAGAATAGCTGAAAATACAGCTTATCATCAACACTTGGGAAAAAAATCTTGCCAGACATGGTAGTATACACCTATAATCTTAGCACTTGCGAAGCTGAGGAAGGAGGATCCCTGTGAGTTGAAGGACAAGGCCAACCTGAACTACATAATTACACCTTGTCTCTTAAAAAAAAAGAATTAGCTGGGCCTGGGGCTGATGGCCCACACCCATAATCTCAGCATTAGGGAGGCTGAGGTAGCAGAATTGCAGAGTCACCATGAGTTCGAGGCCAGCCTAGACAATATAGTGAGAACCTACTACTCCTCTACCACCACACACACAAAAAGGTTGGGTATGATGTAGCCCTGGCTTCAATTCCCAGGGTGTCTTCCTACTTAGGAACCTTTTTCATAAACCATACAGTCTCTAGAAGAGGCCATGTACTACACTATATATATAGCCTTTATGTACTAAGTACTACACCTAAATAATTCTATATTATCAACACATCAATTCAGATGGTTCCTACACTGTTATAAACACAAAAGCTTTTTTTTTTTTTTTAAATTCTGGAACACTATATTCAATAAAGAAAGTGAGAATGACAATATGTATTTATTAAACTATATTACACTATAAGGGACTATCCCTTGATTATTTCTTATTTTCTTGTACTAATCTCTCCAAGTGCTCAATTACTTGGAGAGTAATAGAAAAATAGAGTTTCCTGGCATATAAACTTTGTTAAATAGGCTGAATCACAAACCAGCATACATACATAGAAGCTGCTCGAGTACTTGACAATCGGAGATCCAGAGCCAATTTTTTATTTTCTTCAGTATCAGATTCTGAGTTTTCCAATGAAGACTGTG